TCATCTAATATGTTTAACAAATGATTTTTTACTTTAACTACCATTTCATCACTGACACAGGAGCTTTTAAACCTAGGATCCAGATAGGAACAAACTGATAAAAACAGTTTGATATTCTCTGATTCATATCTCTTTTGAATAGATTTCAATATTGTCTTCCTTAAGTTAATTTCTAATGAACTGTCATCACCTTCATTAATCTTTAATAATGTCCCACTTAAATATTCTAAGACAGGTACCAGAGCACTTACAGTAACATTTTGATCACCACTAAAAGTGTCTGTAAGTTTAGACAACGGAAACAAAACATTATCAGTTTGTTCCAAACATCTTATGATAGCTGTATCTGGCATAACATGCCAGTGCTTTCTGTCTGTAAAAAGTACTGAATTCACTGGTTGTTGTTGCTCTAAAAATCGATGGATCATGCTGGCAGTTGAACCCCATCGAGTGGCCACGTCGTGGATGAGTTTGTGTTCTGGAAAATTCAGTTCTTTCTGTTTAATCGTTAGGTCTCGACTCTTCTTCCAGCTTCTGGTAAATGTATTCACAGCTACTCTGACAAGCCTTACAGCTCTACTGACAGTGTCAATCTTTAAACCTTCATTAACAGCAAGATCCAAATTGTGACCAAAACAGGATAGCTGTTGTTTCTTTAGGGCGGTAAACATTGTAGAATTATTGGAGGCATTGTCTGTTGTTCCACTTATCACATCATCCAACTTTAAATTCCACTTCTCCAGTCTCTTTTATTCCTTCTGCCATGTTTACCCCAGTGTGATCATCATTGAATGGAATAGCACCTAAGTTAATGGACTTTAATTCCCAATCAGGATCTATAAAATGGACAGTTAGGCTCATGTAAGGCTCCATAGTAATCATGTCCACATATCTGTGGTGAAAGAAAGCTTTTCTGCAGTACCTAAAACATCTTGGACTGTAGCTTCAACATCGTTATAGATTGTTGGGATGATTTTCTGTTGAAAATAGGTCCTGGAAGGCACTTGATATTTAGGGTTAATTTGTTCCATGAGATGTCTAAATCCCGTTCTTTCTACGGCAGAAAAACTTATCATATCCTTCGCCATCCAATGGCCTATTGCCCGGTGTGTAATTATTGCAGATTTAGAATTAATGTCCCATTTTTTTACTTTCTCAAATGCTCCAACAATACCGGGTTGGGTTTTAAACTTTGTTGAACTTTGTAAGTTGGATCCCTGTTTTAAATTTTTCGTTTTGTTGGTGTCTGAATAAGCATGCGGGTGGTTGTCTCGCAAATGATGCCATAGATTCGAAGTGTTACCCCCTGGCGTTTTGATGTCTCGAGAGCAAAGTTTGCAGGTCGCGACGTCTTTATCATTGACATTTTTAAGGCCAAAATGACTCCATACCACTGAAGAAGTGTTCTTTTTTGCAGCAAGGATATCATTTGCTGTTGAAATCGGTACAGAACTTTCCTGTTGAGCAGCCATATTGTTTCTAATGACAATAAAAGAAATATCATCCAGACGCATAAATTGTACTATAACATAGTTACCGACTGGATAATCAATGTTCAACAACGCGACGAGTGGAGTTGGTTTCTATGACAACGACACTCTACTCAGCAGCGCGTGCAGTGGCCAAACTAAAAATTGTTAACACGAGATATTTTATCATCCTTCTGTCATTTTGACAAAATTCGACCGAAATAATACAATATACTTTCCATATTTTATAAATGTGATTATCCCAAATCATAATTGTGATTATTTTAAAAATAATCACGATATATCGTGATATAACGATTTTTGCGAAAGGAGGCGATTATTTAATCGCCTGACCCAATAATCGCGATTAATCGCAATCCCCGGGGTATCGCTGCATCCTTAATTCCAAGTCTTCATTTGTAGGCCTTCGAGCGCGGCAATCCACCGTTATATTCATGCCCCACCATTTGAAAGGAATATTAACATTCTAAATGATAAAGAATTCCATTCATCTAATAATGTCTTTGTATCAGTCTTGCGAAAATTAAAAAGATAGGTTGCCAGGCAACAAAACATACGCCCACAACAGCTAAATCGTTGAGCGTTCGACAAGGGTTGTCGCATATTTATTCTTTTGTAGGTAATTAGGGGAATTTAATAGACAATTTCATACAGATGACATTATAATTTTCGTCATTTGAGCGTTCATAAGGTTCTAAAAACCAAAACCAGGGCCGTAACTCTAGAAGTAATCTACAGAAATTGTTGAAATTCGACAGGCTTTTTCGTTTTACTAATTCAAATAATGTATATAAATTCTTAACAGATCGGATCATAACTTTTGTCGCTCGAACGTTCACAAGGTTCAACAAAGTCAAACAAGGGCCATAACTCTAGAAGTAATTGACGGAAATTGCTGAAATTCAATATGCTTCTTCATTTCACTAATTTAAATGATGCATATCAATTTCATACAGATCGGTTGATAACTTTTGTCATTAGAGCGTTCACAAGATTCAACAAAGTGAAACAAGGGCCATAACTCTAGATGTAATTAACGGAAATTGCTGAAATTCAATAAGCTTCTTTGTTTTACTAATTTAAATGATGCATATAAATTTCATACAGATCGGTTGGTAACTTTTGTCGTTAGAGCGTTTACAAGGTGCAACAAAGTGAAACAAGGGCCATAACTCCAGAAGAAATTAACAGAAGTTATTGAAATTAAATAGGCTTCTTCATCTCACTTATACAAACAACATATATCAATTTCAAAACAATTGGTTGATAAATGTAGTCTGTAGAGTGTTCACAAGAAATTGTGGATGATGGACGGACGGACGGACAGCAATATAAGACCACATTTCCATGTGGGCGTATAACAAAAGTGATTTTTCCTACAATCAAAGGCCATAATTCAGGAAATTACAATTCGATATGCGCAAATATTGAAAGGAACCGAGATCTTTGGGTTATAAACTTACATTTCAAGTTTCAACATTTTTACGCTATTTTAGAACGAAGGGCGGCCATTTTGTCTGTCAGTTTTGGGCCGATTTTCACTAAATTCAATCTCAGCCGTCCTTAGGGTGAACCGGTGATATAAGAATACGTTTTTTTAAATCGGATAAATATTATGACCTCTATTGGGTCCACAAGCTAAAAACGCAATTTTTCGAACAATCAGGGGCCATAATTCAGGAAGTTACGGTCCAATATGCGCGAATATCGACAGGAACCAAGATCTTTGGGTTATAAACTTACATTTCAAGTTTCAACAAAATCGGATAGAAATTGTGACCTCTATAGGGTCCACAACCATATTTTTACGCTATTTGAGAACGAAGGGCGGCCATTTTATTTGTCAGTTTTTGGCCGATTTTCACGAAATTCCAACTCACCTGTCCTTAAGATGTAACGGTGATATAATAATATGATTTTTTAAATCAGATAAAAATTATGACCTCTATAGGGTCCACAAGCCAAAAACGTGATTTTTCGTACAATCAGGGGCCATAATTCAGGAAGTTACGGTCCGATATGCACGAATATCGAAAGGAACCGAGATCTTTTGGTTATAAACTTACATTTCAAGTTTCAACAAAATCGGAAAAAAATTGTGACCTCTATAGGGTCCACAACCTTGATATACCATATTTTTACGCTATTTGAGAACGAAGGGCGGCCATTTTGTCTGTCAGTTTTGGGTCGATTTTCACGAAATTCGAACTCAGTCATCCTTAGGGTGTAACGGTGATATAATAATACGTTTTTTTAAATCCGATAAAAATTATGACCTCTATAGGGTCCACAAGCTAAAATGCGATTTTTCGTATAATCAGGGGCCATAATTCAGGAAGTTACGTTCCGATATGCACAAATATCGAAAGGAACCGAGATCTATGGGTTATGAGCATACATTTCAAGTTTAAACCAAATCGGATAAAAATTGTGACCTCATCAGTGTTCACAAGCTAAAAACATGATTTTTTTGTACAATCAGGGGCCATAATCCATGACGTTACAGTCCGATACATGCCAATATCGAAAGGAACCGAGATCTTAGGGTGATTAACCTATATTTCAAGTTTCATATAAATCGGATAAAAATTGTGACCTGTAGACTGTTCACAAACAATTGTGGACGGACGTCAGGACGGACAGGGGCGACGACAATGTACGTCCACATGAAAATGTGGGCGTATAAAAAGTTTAAGTTCATATAATTATGATTCTAGTTCCAAACGGAAAAACAAGTATTCAAATATTTTTCAAGGTTATGGGCCTAACCCAAAGTCTACACACACGTTAGTATCTCACGCATCTTTGCCAATACCTCGTAACTCCAACACTTCGCACATTTTCCAGTATAACTCACTCGATGCATATGCAAATGGAATGTTTTCAATTTCCAGTACTTCTGTAAACAATTATTTTAAATGAGGTAATTTCTCTCTCAATTTAAGCCTCATGTTCTGATTATTTTCATGCGTTTTTTTTGCTTCGAAGAGTCCATTTTGCAGGGTAGTCTAATGAGAATTGGGAATCTCATTGGATAAATTACATCAATGTATGTGTATTATGATTTGTCTGCATACTTTTGAACATGTGATATTTCCGTCATTTATAATAACACCTCTTACTGAGCTTATTGTTTGTTGTTTTTCCGTCTATAAATCTCAAACGTTGGCCCTTCGACTATTATGCCAGCTAATTGAGGGTACGGACAACAACATTTCCATGTGGGTATGTAAAAGTAAACACTGAAAGCTAGATATCAAAAAAAAATACTCGATTATATTTCACATTAGGCAGGTCAGCACTAAATTATAACGATAATACGCAATTTGAAAGAAAATTTCACAAATGGATATATTTATTACTTAATCTGTAAATATTAGCACTATCTTTTCATAAAACTGGAATATATGTGCAACCGGAATATACGTTTATGGAAAGTCTCTTATTTTGTGATTTTAAAGTATACATTGTGCATTGATGTTACCATGTATTATTTATCTTCATACTTACTTTGGAAGCAACAATTCAAAGGCAACCATTGGATCAATTTCTGGCCAATCAGATAACAAACGATAAATATCCGGTAGACAACGCCAGTCCCAACTATGAGCACTCTGAAGTATTTTTGGTAAGAGATTTTTATGTCCATGAAGATAATTACGATATTCCCATAAAATTTCCATTTCTTCAGCACCAAATCTGGCATATAGAAAATGACATATAAGTTATAAGGTTGTCCCAGCTCAACAAATTTTACAACGCATAGACAAAAATTTGGGCTTATATTAACATAATATATGATAAGACTTACCATAAAAACTTCATTCATCAACAATCGAAGTCTGGTCATGCTTGAGTTTTTGAAGATATAACCATTTTGGCATGTTTTAAAAATTGGTTTAAAATATCACATTATCAAGGCAGTTAACTCTTTGTGACAAAAGGAGTTATGGATCATGGTCACATTAAAAGTAAGACCTACGTCCCTGGAACGAAAATTTCTTCATCAGAGTCGGGAAGCACTGTTTATTTTCTTGGTGTGAAGTAACGGAATATACTCTATGAGATGACAGAGTTTTCAACATTGTACGCATGCGCAAACACTTAGGTTGTTTTTTTTACGATATGCCGACGCCTTCAAATGTCTTAATATTAACTACTTATAATGCTACAGTGGAAATTAACCATTTTGGCATCTTTTAAAAATTGCTAGAAAATATCACATTATCAAGGCAGTTAAGTCTTTGTGACAAAACGAGTTATAGATCATGGTCACATTAAAAGTAAGACCTATGTCCCTAAAACGAAAATTTCTTCATCACTGTCAGGAAACATTGTTTATTTTCTTACTGCGAAGTAACAGAATACACTCTATGAATGAGATGATTGAGTTTTCAACATCTGCACGTATTCACAAACGCTTAGGTTGTTTTTTTTTTAAGTTATGCCAAAGCCTTCAATTGTCTTAATATTAACTACTTATAACGCTACAGTGGAAATTAACCATCTTGGCATGTTTTAAAAATTGGTTGAAAATATAACATTATCAAGGCAGTTAACTCTTTGTGACAAAACGAGTTATGGATCATGAGCACATTAAAAGTAAGACCTACGTCCCTGGAACAAAAATTTCTTCATCACAGTCGGGAAACATTGTTTATTTTCTTGGCATGAAGTAACAGAATACACTCTATGAGATGATTGAGTTTTCAACATCTGTATGCATGCGCAAACGCTTAGGTTTTTTTTTTTCTTACGATATGTCGACGCCTTCAAATGTCTTAATATTAACTACTTATAATGCTACAGTGGAAATTAAAATACAAGTTTAGCTGGCCATGGATATCAAAAGATCTGTGCTTGACATGAATTGTTTAAAGATTAGCCTAATATTAAAATGAATAGTGGTTTCATCTCTGTATACCCACAGACACGGGCCTGTTTATAATGGCATGAGAGAGAGAGAGAAAGAGAGAGAGAGAGGTATATAAATCTAATAATTTAACACTTAAATGTTAGTCCCATAGATAAATAAATATATTGTGCAGTATGATGTTTGTTGTGAAAAAAGAACAATTTGTCGGATAAAGTAGAGGAAAACATAATTGCATGTAATACAGAGAGAGAGGGATGAAGACCTCTATAAATCTAGTCCGGTCGCCAAACCCAATTTTTCGAGTGAACCTGGAAATTATATACAAAGTTTTTTTTATGATTGATTTTAGTAGCCAATGGTGTCCTCTTTCAGAATCTGCCGGGTGAACCTCGGTCACCCTTGAGCGTTTTGAGAAATTCAAGATGGCGTCCAAGACGGCCGCCTCATCAAATAATCCCCTATAGCTCCCATAGTATTTATTCTAGGATGATAATTTTGGCGTCTAACCGTATGTTTTTGGGGTCAAGGAATACACTGAAATCATTTATTATGTTGTGGGGTGATTAGATGATATTAAAACCAAACATGCCAGACAATATGGCCCTTTCACTAGTTAGCGGCGGTTGGAGGCAATTATTTCACCGAACCAAACTATATCAGGAGGCACAAGCTGATTGTTGAAAATTTAAAAAAACAAATTCTACCCGCAAAACAGGAACAAAACTAGTGTAACAAAGGGTGAAATCTCTGCTGTCCTTTTGACCTAACCGATGTTACCAACATCAATATGATTTTTGTTAAGATAAGCTACTGCCATATTGGAATGGTCATGTCGGAGAACCCGCCGACCTTTAATTTATTTATTTATTAGTGTTCAGCTGTCATCATAATTCTTTTTTATTCAATATCAATAATATGTAACTTCATACCTTACCTATAAATTGGTTTAGGTTTCAGATGAAGTCAGTTCAGTTAGTTGTGTAGCTCAACACAGAACCATGGAGGCAGACGTGAATTAAGACGATGGCCGTAAAGACAATATTATAATATGTATCGGTTGTTATACATGTAGTGTAGTTTAATGTTTGTTACCGTCTTGCTGAATTTATCTACAGGGTTTAAATATAAGACGAAGCGTTTAATTTCCCGCAAGTCGTTTATCCGATCGTTTATTTTGATTTCAATTATTTACGTATGAATTACGAATAGAAAAGGTGAATATAAAAAAAAATGCACACCCATAGATGCTCACCATACCGTGGACGTAGTATTATTATCCATTATCCATTAAAAAAAATATGATTCCACCATTGACAAATACATCAAAAACCGGTAAATCACGTCCAATGTTATTATACCATTGGAAATCGGTAAAGCACATCCCAGGTAATATAATGTATTTTCTTTAAATCACAAAAGAATGAAAATAGCCTTCCACCTGTACACGTCGCTAGAAGACCTGGCAATGTACACGTGTCACTGTGATAATCTTGTGAGACTTTTTCACTGGCGCCAAATAGTCGATCTCTATACAAGCTATCGCTCATTTTCAGACAATGCTACAGGAATGGCTTCCAACAGCATCAAAAGGATACCGTAGTATTATTATCCATTATCCATTTAAAAAAATAATGATTCCACCATTGACAAATACATCACAAGCCGGTAAATCACGTCCAATGTTACGAATATTTGCATATGAAGTGCGAATACATCAAAGATAGGTTGCCAGGCAACGAAACATACGCCCACAGCAACTAAATCGTCCGGGCAGTCAACAAGGGTTGTCGCATATTTTTACTTTTTTCGGTAATGAAACATTTATAATACACTAAAATCTGGTTAAGAGCAACAACTCACGGAGTAATCATAAGAAAACTATTAGAATTTGTTTGGTTTTTATAAAGTTCTGCCCCATGCTAACGTTTTGTATGCAAAGCTTTTAATATCATGGATTTAACTGTTCAAGTCATAAAAATTCATTGAAAATCAATATACTTGTTCGTCTCAAGATCTTAAACTCTGTGTATCAATCTGAAGTCAATCGGATTATAACTTTAGCCTTTAGAGCATCACAAGATTTTGCAATGTGATCAAGGGCCATAACTTTGGCAGTAATTATCGGAAATCGTTGAAAATCAATAGGACTCTTCGTCTCATGACCTCAAACACTGTGTATAAATTTAAACTCAATCGGATATTAACTTTAGCCTCTAGAGCATCCACAAGATTTTTTGAAGTGATAAAGGGCCATAACTCTGGCAGTAATTATCGGAAATCGCTTAAAAATCAATAGGCTTCTTCGTCTCATGACCTTAAACACTGTGTATAAAATGAAATTCAATTGGATATTAACTTTGGCCTCTAGAGCGTCCACAAGATTTTTCAAAGTGATCAAGGGCTTCCAATGCATCCAAGCGTAATATTTAATTTATGTCGGCACAAAAAGCAACGAGATTTTATTAAGAGGCCACTCCCGTTAAGCGGTCAGTTGTGAAAATTCCCTTGGGTGGCTGCTTAATGCAGATTCTACTGTATGTGACCGTAAGCTTATTCTCGGTCTTTTTCATTTTGATTTTAATATTTTATCAAGAAAAACATACATGTAACAACTTTTGGTCAGGTATCACAGCTTTATAACCATTTAATGATTTATTTCTGTATTAATTTAATACTAATTTGAGAAAACCATTGGTTGTTAAAGAATTATCATACTTTTCCCGGGAACTGATTTTTTTATCATTTACTATAATGTTTTTATTACATCATATATACAAAAATTTCCATAATTGGTAGCGGTATATAAATTTTCATACATCTCACTCAGTTAATCATTTTTTTTGTTTAATCCATAGCAATTAATTAAGTGTTTAACATTTTATTTAAAATCGGATTACGTATGTAAATACAACCGAACTCTCACTTAGCTAATTAAATGAAGCAATCCAAACAATGCGTAATTTTCATGCAATTGAGAATTATATTTACGCATGGTGTAATCGTTGTACTGTAGTCAAGTGTTTACATAACATCAAGGCAGTATTCATTGAAGCATATTTCCTGTTGATACTGTTTGACCCGCATGAAAATGGGCGACAGCTTGTCTATAGAGATTTTGGCGCCAGTGAGAAGTCTCATGAGATTATCGTCGTTCAAAATTACATTGCGGGGTTGACTTCGATCTCTTCCTGTGGCGTCTACAGGTGGAAGTTTATTCATTTGTGAAGATACATTACCTGGGATGTGTGTGACTTGTCTACGATATCACCGATTTTTGATGTATTTGTCAATAGCGGAATTACTATTTTGAATGGATAATGGATAATAATAATACGACCACGGTAAGGCGAGCATCTATGGGTGTGCTTTTTTTTATATTCACCAAATGTTTAATTACCTCGAACGTGATTTACCGATTTTTGATGTATTTGTCAATAGCGGAATTACTATTTTGAATGGATAATGGATAATAATACTACGACCACGGTAAGGCGAGCATCTATGGGTGTGCATTTTTTTTATATTCACCTTTCTTATTCGTAATTCATACGTAAATAATCGTAATCAAAATAAACGATCGGATAAACGACTTGCGGGAAATTAAACGCTTTGTCTAATATTTAAACCCTGTAGATAAATTCATCGGGTGTTAATTTTTTTACGCGTCTCGGGAAATTAAAGTGCTCGGCTAGTAATTAAACCCATGGAGAAATTCAACGTTGTACCATTAAATTAAACGATAGTACTAATTAAACGATTTTTGTAATTTTCAAGCGTTATTATCAATTATCAAACGATGTTTTGAAATTAAACTGTATGCATC